CAGTCCTATGTCCTACTCAGACTTTCAGTGATTTTGTTGCATGGTTTTCTTGTGCCTTTCTATTCTGAGTTTGTCTGGCTGAAGCAGCTCATAAATTCCACCAACAGTCTCCTAACTCAGTTTCCTACGCATTTACATGACATCTGTGCTCATCTCTGTCACTGCATTTAGTGCATGTACCAGTATAAGGACACTCGTCAGCTTGCTTGTTGGTATTCCCTTTTGGGTTTTGGACCCTGAGGGCAAGAACTATTTTTCACCTTGGAATATCCAGCACTTAGCAATACTTGGTACATAGTAGATACACATAAACGTCTGAAGCATGAAAGAATTTTATAAATTGTGTTAACACACATTCTAGAATGTGTTATGAATATATTAAATTTGTAGTTTAAATTGACGTTTATCTCAAATACACTAACTTTTCAAATTGAACCTGATTTAAATCAATCTGCCTTCTCTCTCTCTCTCTCTGTGTCTGTAGAAATTCTGTGCACATGTACGCCAGAAAAACATATTAAGTTTTATCCAGTGCTCACACAGACTCACACACAGACACCATATAATAGATACATAATAAATGCTAACTGATCAATATGATTTTGGCTCATCCTAGAAATAAAAATGAGTTGAGGCAATTGTCAGACCTCCTCATACATAAAGCTAAGTAAGGTGTTTTAGCAGCAACATTCAGTAAAGGTCACTATGAATTAACAACAAAAAAAGTAATATTTACTCTTAGTGAGAGATTGACTGCAGAAATGGCTTAATTTACCACATAATATCAACTGGGAAATGTCATTTGATTTCTAACAAAGAATTATTATCCTTACTGCTGTTTTAAGGAGGAAGTGAATTAAACATTTTAAGAAATTTTTATATTAAAGATTCCAAAGAAACACTCAGATGGAGTTGGAACATCAGCACTCAGGACCCAAATATTTAATGGAATAACTAACAATATTAAAAATCATAACGTTAATTTAATTTTAAACTAAATTTAAATTTAAATAAAAGTTAACTACGAGCTACGTGCCTGGGGATATTCTGAATCTCATAAACGCATTAAATCACTTCACCCTCAGAACAGCCCTGAGGCAGGCGCTGCCCCATTTCACCACCGAGCGAGCGAAGGCACAGCGTGACGGTGCATCTCACGGAGGTCACACAGTGGAAAGCTTGGATTCCCACCCAGAGACTCTTTGTAACCACCAAGTTCTGCCTTTTCCCTAAAAGATACTCGTCAATTATACTTTGGCGGCTAACTTACACATTGATCTAAGAATTATTTTTTTGGTAATTTTCTCAAATTGGAAATCAGAAGAAAGAGACAACCAACAAGCTGCTGTCGTTTTCCGCTGTACAACATCAAGCATGTCCCTTTACTTCTCCAAGTTGCCCTCTCAGCAAAATGGGACTTGAACATCTACCTAGCACACCTTAGTACTCTGCTAACTTTCATCCAGGTTTCTTTTGAACTAAGACATACTATAAAAAATATATCTATATCAAGATTAAGTTAGATGATACATACGAAAGTGTTTTAGAAAGTATAAAATGCTACGTCATTATAAATGTACTTTTATTAATATTTATTATTTTAACTCTCTTATGATCAGTGACATAAAAATATAATCTTGCTCTCTCCTCTTCTATATTTGAGTCTTTCACGACTATATGCTAGAACAGGAAATATAAAAGTATTTATTCATAACCAACTAAAATAGCCTAGGAAATCAAAAAAGTCATAGCAAATATTTCTCGCTTTAACCAGAGTGAAAGAATTCTTTTTCAAACTCAAAATTAGGAGTCTATAAGACAAAAACAAACAAAACAAGTCAGCCAAACTGGTTTCATTCTGAGAAACTCCATATTGATCTTAATGATTTTTGATAAATAGAACACATATCTACATGCCTAACAAACGAATTTATGGGAACAGGTTTTAAAGAAAAATGACAAAAATGTGTCATTTTCTTACTTATTTTAACTCATTCTTTCTCTACTAGAGGGAAATAAACATAAAATTCCAGAAAGCTAACAAGTTTAAAAATGCCTAAAACATGAGGAAACAATCAAGTTGCTCCATAGTCTTGAAGAATTTCTTAAATGGATCTTTTAAAACATTAATTTCTTACTTGCTACTTGAAAAAAATTACTTTGCTTAAAACTACAACTGGTGATTGCAGCTAATGAACTAGTGCTAAAAATATTACAAGGTAATATTATATATAAATCTACACATATATTAAATATGTAGATATCTGATATCCTTTTTCAGAAAAATGTGACAGCCTTGTAATGGGCTAGATACAATGCTAGTTGCTACTAGTTCCTGGAGATCTAAGAGTGAATAAAATACAGATGACCTCTATTCTCATGGAGTTTTAAATTTATCAAGGAAGTTGTGTATTTAATATTTTTTCAAGTGCAATTTTGTCAAGTGCCATGAAAGGTAAGTAGAGAGTGACATAAAAATGTATAACAGGGAAATCCAGTGTGGTTTGAGCTTTGGAAAGGCTTCCCTAAGGAAATGAGATTGAGGTAAAGGAATTGGTCAGGTAAGGGAGGGGGCGTTTGAGTGGGATGATTCCAAGAGGGGAGAAAACAAAATGTATGGAGTTCAGAGTGGAAGGGGGTTGGTATGTTCAATGAACTGAAAGAAGGCTTGCTTGGCTGGAGCAGAGCAATCAACCGGGAGACCCTGGGGAGACCCATTCACGTGAGGCTTACAGGTCACCTGGAGGACACTTAGTCATTGAAGCCATTAAGTACGACAGTGACATGATCAGAAAATGGAAAAAAAAGTATTTAGTCATCCTAGCTCATGGAGAAAGATTATATTTTATAAAACAACATCAATAATCAGAAATTATATAGCCATCTGGAGATTACCGATTTTAAAATTAGCAGAGAAATGCTTGATGTAGATAAGATATCAAGACAGAAAGGATTTAAAAAAGGTACTATATAGGAGTTAAACATTAGAAGCCATTTGTTTCAAGGACAAAAGCAAGAATAAAATTCAAAAGATCTCTTAGTCCTACATCAAAGAATAATCTCAAAATTATATTCAAAACCACCAATATTGTCAATTTACAGACCTTATAGAAAGAGATGCTAGAAATAATTACATTTATTTATTGTGTTACTATTGAAAGTTCCACGGGAAAAGTCTTCAGAACAGAACAGATGCTCAGCCTGCCTTAGGCTGAATATATATAGTTCAGGTGATAGCAATATAAATCTTTCACAAAGTTTATGATGTTACTGGAGATTTGTTAATGTCCTAGCTGTCCATGCTGTTTTTACCCTCAGGGAAAATACTGACCAAGACTCACACTTGCCTTATTTGAAAGTTATCAATATTCAATTAACTAGGGCCATTAGGTCTCTGTCCTCTGCATATAGCTTTGTTTTACTCTGATGCTTGCCTGGAGGTTCTGTTATACGCTACAGGCTAGAACTGTCTTCAACAAAGGAGAGTCTCAGGAAAAGGACACTTAGGTACTTCAGACTACTGACACTGGACTTGTTGGTACAGGCTTCTGAGCTGACAGCGCCTACTCAACTTCCAGACCAAAACAGTAAACTGAGTCAGGATTCCCAGAATTCTCCGATGGAGGAGACTTCAAGAATTAGTGACATAGGACTGACTGCATGAACTTAGAGGTCTTATTTTATTTTGGTTCTCTGCTTGGAAAACTGTTTTCAGTTTCCACATATATAAGGAAGCTCTTTCACTTTTCTTTTCAAGCTATCTAGACTGTAACAATTTAATAAACTTCGGTTTTGCAAATGAAATAAAACATTTAAAAATGTCTCACTAAACCCTCAGTTCTCCTTACTTCGCGTGGTGGCATAGTTATTTACATAGGTTCACAGACTCCACCTTTTTATCAGGATATGATCGCATAAACAGATTGTGCAGTAATGGCCATTCTCGTGCATGACGCACATTGCATCAAGGAGGACCAGCTGCTTTTAAGGAGCTGAGGCTGATTTTACTTATGGATACCATGTCTATAGAGTCCACCTTGAAAATCTGGCCTGACTCTTGGCCTGGACAGTGTAGTCTTCCAGGTCAGGAAGGTCACCTCCTGGCAGGTTAGGAACATTAACAATTTTGGTGATCCTGAGAGGAGAGGAATACAGGCAAAGGCCACACAGGTGCAATCTGGTCTACGGTCTCTTGGGCTTGGCTTCCTAACCTCAAGTTGGCAGACAAGAAAGGCTTTTAAAAGTCCAATCTGAGATGCTTTATAAAAACTTCCAGACAGAAATGAATTAATCTGAAGCTCTAAGGCTTTTATTATAGAAAAATAAGTCAGCCTCCCATATGAATTTCCCAGTCTTTCTGTCTCTCTCTAGTCTAAAAGCTGGTGAAATCTCCTAAAACTCAAATGTTTAAATGGTCGTTGTTGACAAAATAGAACAGAAAAACTGTATTAGTTCATTTCTATATGTATCATTCAAGATCTTTCAGACAACAAGGACCTTTGAATATTCATATTTTTCCTATTTTTTAAAAATAAATAACTTTTTTGCCTGTCACAACATCCTGGACCTTGGTTTTCATATTTATTATACAAATATACTGAGGACAAGTACCTCAAAGAAGACCAACAATATTAACTTAATATGTTATGACATGACAATTACATCTTTCTCATGTTTAATGTGCAAACACTGCAGTAATAAAATAAACTCAGAATGATTAAATGAATAATAATAATTCTAAGTTCTAAAAATAGTTCACCCATTGGTTGATAATATTAAAAATAGCAGCTATTAGACTATTTTTGCATCATGTATTAGTATAACAGTAATCCTAGAATAATTTAATTTTTGCAGTTTATACATGACAGTATATTAAAGGAATAAAGTAATTTTCTATTTTAAATCTGAACAGCCAAATCAAAATATTCCACATTATATATGTCACATGTAATATTAGTTAGCATTTTAAATGACTGGATATGTGTTCCACTCATACTTACCCATGAAATTGAGATAGCCCTCTCCACCGAGTGCGTGAGTAATGAGTCGAATCATTTTGTGAAGCTGTATTCCACGATCAATAACTGGAGTAAAAGGGGTCAGAACACTCATGTTGGTATACATTTCGGCGTCCATCAACCAAAATGCCAGTGACTTATCCCCAACGAGTGCCTACAGAAATAAAAATCACTGAAATAAATGCAAAGAATAGCTACTAAGAAGCTGTGATCTACAGGAGAATAACACATGATTACACAGGGTGGAAAACTGTGTGCATTAGGATTAATTTCACGTAGTTTCCATTAGTTACTTTCTATACTGAAGGTCAGCTGGTAAAATACATTAGAGATCAACACACCTGTTTTCAAGACTGATTTTTATTTTATTTATTTATTTTTTTGAGGAAGATTAGCCCTGAGCTAACATCTGCCACCAATCCTCCTCTATTTTTGCTGAGGAAGATTGGCCCTAAGCTAACATCCGTGCCCATCTCCCTCTACTTTATATGTGGGATGCCTACCACAGAATGGCTTGACAAATGGTGCAAGGTCAGTACCTGGGATCAGAACCAGCGAACCCCGGGCCACTGAAGCAGAGTGTGTGAACTTAAGTGCTCTGGCACCAGGCCGGCCCCAAGACTGATTTTCATTTTGAAAAGAGCTTGGTGAAAAACTCATGAGAAGCTACCTGAATATTGGTTGTACCTGAGCAGATGCTTAAATTTTCTGAAATTGTAATAAACATTTATTGCAATGTTGAGAACACTAAACAGATTTTAAAACAGTTTGCATACCATGATTTTGTTTTGAAAGAATGGAAGAGTTTCTAAAAACTTATTTATATGTATATGTATTTAGACTTATGTGTATGTACTTACATGTATATGTAATTTATAGATGTAGATTTATTTTATATATAAAATATACATATAAACATATTATAAGGGACTCTCCTCCCCTTCAGCAGAGGGATGACAACTTTTTTTAAATGCAAAATTTGCTTTCTCATTGTACTTGTCATTTAATCTAAAATTAGTTTGTTTTATATGAAAATATAATAATTGATAAATGGAGCAGGTAACTCAGAAAGACCCTGAGTAGCAGAAGAGAGGCTTCTTAACAATCTAAATTATTCACGGTTACTAACAGCTAATTTATGTGAAGTATTCTTCACTGACAAAAAATTATATATAGTGAAACATATAATCGAGATTAAACCATAATCTCATTACTCTATTACAATTATTTTCACTTTTAGAAAAATATTTTTACTTACAAACCTATTATAATCCCTATTTTGATTTAAATGACTTTTAAACAAAAATACTGTTACAAGATGATCTACTCATTCTGTGGGTCTTGTCCTCATTCTGAGGGCCAAGAAAGAACTGGCTCAGAATATAGTTTCCGCCAGAAGAATTCCCAGAGCTTGATTAGGTGGTAATTGTCATCTATATTACTTGACTTCAAATTTTTTTGCTTTATCAAAACAGCATCTTCGTTTTCTGACTTATTTTAATACTTATGTTGAAGCCCTAACTCCTAATGTGACTGTACTTGGAGATGGGGCCTTTAAAGAGGTGATCAAGGTTAAATGAGCTTATAGGAGTGAGGCCCTAATCCAATGAGTGGTGTCCTTACAAGAGGAACAGACACAGGGATGCGTGTGCACAGCATCCGGGATCCAAACTGGTGAATCCTGGGCTGCCGAAGGGGAAAGTGTGACCTTAACCACTATGCCACCGGCCAGCCCTGCTTAGACTTTCTTAATAGTTAGAGGAGACACATGAAACACCACCTGTTTACCTTAAATGGCCAATTTCTGTTGAGATAACAGAGAAGTTTATTGTTTGAGCTTCAATTTTCTTAATACACATACTGCAAATAATTTCAAAATTTTTATTAGTTCTTTTTTAAGGTATAAAGAGTACATTTTATGTTATTTATGGTTATGAGGATTAATATGGCTTTAAATAACTAAATGGCCTTTTTTCCTCATTTATTTATGTTTATTGAGTGACTACTGGGAACAATCACAGTGCTAAGGCTGGAAACACAAAAGGTAATGGAAACAAATGTTCTGCCTAAATCACGATGAGAACGTGGAGGATGGGGCAGCTGTTTTTTCTTATTTGTATACTGGAAGACGGCTTCAGAGTGTGATATCTGAGCCAGGGCATTAGGTGTTTGTAGGAGTTTCAGGTGAATTCGGCATTTGCAGGTATGTGGGGGAAACTACCAGATTGAAATGCTGTCGACCTCTTCCGGAATGACTGGGAATTTTACAGTATTGAAAATACAGCGCTCGGAAGGTTGCGCAGAGAATGAAGACAGAAACTTTGGCTTGGGCCAGGACACGAGTAACCATGAATGATGAGCTTCAATCAAAAGATCTGGGTTGACAAAAAGCAGTTTTCTCTTTGGCAAATACCTCGCCTGCATTAGAGAGGATGGACTGGAGTGGAGACGGACAGGGGTCAGGGTGGGCAATTAGCAGGAAATTTCAGTGACTGAGGGGAAAAATTACAAAAGCTTGTCAAAAGGCACAAAAGAAAACCTCTAGGAGAAAACCTAAAATGGAAATTAAAATAAACCTGGATCAGCACCAACACGTCTCTCATTATAACAAAGAAAAACATGTAAAATAACATTTGCAACTGTCATTTACAATTTTTTAATTACAGTTTGGCAGGGTAAAAATGGTACTCCATTTTAAAGCTGGAATTTATAGATCTACAAAATAATTTAAAAATGTTTTTCAAGTATGAGGAGCTTTCATATAAAGATATATATAGCTATGTAAAATTAGTTATGTCAAATGTATTAACTATAGAAATTTGTATTTAGATATGTTAATCAAGACAAAGAGAGAGAGAAGGAATTTACACACGTATTCATTTACCTGATCATGGCTCTCTGCATAAGCGATGCACTTTTCAAGGTGGCGTCTGTTTGTGAGAGTGTACACTATGTTGCCCATGTTCCAATCTTCATCTTTAAACTCCTTAACTAGCTAGATGCGAGAGAGAAAACAATTTGAGTAAGTCATTATTGTTCTTACTTTAAATCCCAATCTGAGGGTAGACATCATATCAATCCAAATTATTTGACATGCAGATGCAAGTGCACCCATAACGCAAAGATATCCTTGTTTAAACTTTTACTGAAATCAGCTTTTATACAGGCTGTTGAAATGAAAGTGGTGTAGTGTGTGTGTGTGTGTGTGAGCTTCTGAGCAGATGGTTTGATCATCGCACTTTAGGATTTTTACAACCTGCCTGTAACAACTGTTGCCTCTTGATTAATGACCATGGGAAAGTGTTGTGGTGCAAGATGTCTTTCCGTAACTTTCACAAAGTGGATATACACTACTTGCCACATTTTTAGGTTTGAATGAAAAAAAAATTTAGCAGGAATAATGTTTTGTTCTATTCTTTAAAAATGATAAATAAAAAAGCGCTACTATTTCAAAGTTTAAAAGCTAATTATCATGAAATAATTATCGTCTTAACAGACCGCAGATTCTTGTCTCCACTTGAGTTGTCCCTCAGTCTCCAGTCTGGGTTCTGCCTCTCTAACGCCTCTTTGATGCCAATGACGTGGCCAGGATCTCAGAGCTGCTCTCTTAGGTCAGCAAGGGCTCTTTCTTAGGCAGACGCTTGCTGTACATGTTGGAAATGCTTTCCTTCTTAGTCCACCACTGCGAAACTCCTGATTGTTTTGTTTTGGTTTGTTTTCTCACCAGGATAGGCATCCTGCAAAGTCTCTTCCTCTGCCTGTCCTATAAAAGCTGGGGCTCCTCAGAGTTATGTCCTGAAAACAGCCTCTTCTCTTTTACCCAACACACTCTTTCTGCGTGGGCTCATTTCCCTGTCCAAGGTGTCAACTGCACTCTGATGGGCGGAATCTAAGACGCCCCCAGGATTCCTGCTCCCTGGAATATTACACTCTTTTGGGTAACCCTTTTCCTAGAGTGCGGGTGGGACCCTTCAACATGATGGATGTCCCCTGAAGAAACCGTGAGATAACAACTGAGTAATGTTTTCAGTTGATAAATTCGAGATAATTTGTTACACAGAAATAGAAAACTAATGCAGATTTTGGTAGAAGAAATGGGGCTCGGGCCCGCTTGTGTCTTCCTTTGCTGACTTTTTTTTGCCTATGGAATTCAGATGTGCTTAGCCATCCCCCATAACTGCAGTGTGACTCATTGGGCACCAGAGGGCAGACCGCTTAGGCAGAATAATAGCCACCCGCAGATGCTCACATCCTAATGCCCAGAATCTGTGAATATGTCACCTTACAGGGCAAAAGAACTTCAGAGATGCAATGAAGTCAAGGACATTGAGATGGGAAGATTATCCTGGATTACCCGGACGGGTGCAATGTAACTAGAGGGATCTTTCTAAAAAGGAGGCATGAGTTGACAAAGTAAGAGAGAGATTTGAAGATGCTATACTGCTTTGAAGATAGAGGAAGGGGCCACGAGCCAAGGAATATAGGTGGCTTTTAGAAGCTAAAAAAGGCAAGGAAACAAAGCCTCCAGAAGGAATGCAGCCTTGATTTTAGCGTAGTAAAACTTATTTCAGATTTGTGACCCACAGAACTATTTGATAGTAAATTTGTGTTGTTTTCAACCACTAAGTTTATGGAAATGAGATACAACAACAATTTGAAACTAATGTATAGACCTACACAAATATACTTGATTAATTTTTGACAAACGTGCAAAAACAATCCAATGGAAGGAGGGTAGACTGTTCAACAAATCATGCTGGCAGAGATGGCTACCATAGGCAAAGAAAAAGAACCTTGATGTAAGTCTTACACACTGTACAAAATTTAACTCAAAATGGATCTTGGATTTAAATTTAAAGGTAAAACTACGAAATGTTTAATAGAAAATATAGGAGAGTCAAAGAATTCTTGGGCTTGTTACCAAAAGAGAGATCTCTAAATGAAAAAAATGATAAATTGCTGTCATCAAACTTAAACAAAGAACTTTTGCTCTGTGAAAGCCCACAAGAGGAGGATAAAAAGACAAGCAACAGGGGCTGCAGGCAGCCCAGTGTTTCGTTGGCTCGAATCCTGGGCGCGGACATGGCACTGCTCATCAAACCACGCTGAGGCAGCGTCCCGCATGCCACAACTAGAAGGACCCACAACGAAGAATATACAACTATGTACCGGGGGGCTTTGGGGAGAAAAAGGAAAAAAAAATAAAATCTTTAAAAAAAAAAAAAAAAAGACAAGCAACAGACTGGGAGAAAATATCTGTCAACCACATATCCAACAGAAAACTCAAATCTAGACTATAGAAAGAACTCTCAAAACTCCACAGTAAATAAATGATCCAATTAGAAAATGGGTAAAAGACACGAACAGACATTTCACCGAAGAGGATAAACAGAAGGCAAACAGGCCATGAAAAGATGTTCACTGTCATAAGCCATTAAGAAAATGTAAATTAAAACCACAGTAAGATATCTCTATAACCTATTAGAATGACTAAAGTAAAAAGCAGTGACAACAGCAAATGCTATTGTGCAAGGATGTACAGAACCCGGATCTCTCCAATGTTGCTGGTGGGAATGTAAAATGGTATAGGCCACTCTGGAAAATAGTTTGGCGCTTTCTTAAACAATTAAACATCCAACTACTACTCAGTAACTGCACCTTTGGGCATTTATCCTAGAGTAAGGAAAACTTAGGGTCATACAAAAACCTGTAGGCAAATGTTTATGGCAGCACCTGGAAACAACTCGAATGTCTTTTTTTTCTTTTTAAAGGTTTTATTTTTTTCCTTTTTCTCCCCAAAGCCCCCCGGTACATAGTTGTACATTTTTAGTTGTGGGTCCTTCTAGTTGTGGCATGTGGGATGCCACCTCAGCGTGGCTCGATGAGCGGTGCCATGTGCGCGCCCAGGATTTGAACTGACAAAACACCGGGCCGCCTGCAGCGGAGCGTGCGAACTTAACCACTCGGCCAGGGGGCCAGCCCCACAACTCGAATGTCTTTTAAGGGGCAAGTGATTAAACAAACTGGGGTGTATCTACACCACGGAATATTATTCAGCAATAAATAGGAACGCAGTACTAATACACGCAGCAACCTGGATGACTCTCCAGAGAATTCTGCTGAGTGAAAAATGGCAATCCTGAAAGATTGCATACTGTATGATTCCATTTATATAACATTCTTGAAACAAATTTATAGAAATGGAGATCAGATTAGTGGCTGCCAAAGTTAAGGAGTGATGGGAGCAGGAGGGAAGTAGGTGTGGTTGTAAGGGCAACAAGAGGGAACCTCATGGTGATGAAAGTGTTCTGTATCTTGACTGTCCCAAGGTCAGCACCCTGGCTGTGATCTTGTACTACAGTTTTGCAAGCTGTCACCTTTGGGGAACACTGGTTAAGAGGACACCAGATCTCACTGTATTATTTCTTACAATTGTATGTGAATCTACAATTAGCTTAATATAAAAAGTTTAATTAAAAACTATATATAATAAAAAAGTACTAGGTACACAATACATATTTGGTGGAATTAATGGATAAATGAATGAATTCAATTAAACATTTACATCATCTTTACATGAACATTTCAGTTATTAGATAATAAAAATGACAAAAAAACAAAAGGAGACACAGTAAATTAGGCATATTTTAGATAGTCAAATATTTGTTCAGTAAATGATTAAACTAATATGATATGCCAAACTATTGATTTTGACTACAAGTAGAAAATGGTAAATAATTTGCTTTTGAACAAGAAAAACATGAATGAAATCCAGCATTCCAATCTAACTCACACCCTGTGAGTAGATAACGATGCATGCCATGTACATTCTGGGTACAGCTGTCATTTGGATTAATACACTTTTGTGTTTTATTGGCATTGGAGGGAATGACAGTCATTTATGGAATTATGTTTTTAAATGCACAACTTACAAAAGTAGGGGAAAATCCTGTCTTAGTTTTTTTTTAAATATTACTTTAACTCTGTCTAGTCTTACTAACTAAAGGCCTCACTTTGGCGATGCAAAAATATTTTTAAATAATTATATAAAACAGAAGATGACGAGGGCCAGCCATGTGGCCGATGGTTAAAGTTCCATCTACTCCACTTTGGCAGCCCGGGATTCACAGGTTCCGACCCTGGGCACAGACCTACACCACTTGTCAGCCATGCTGTGGTGGCAACCCACATATAAAAAACAGAGGGGGACTGGCACAGATGTCAGCTCAGGGTTAATCTTCCTCAAGCATAAAAAGAGGAAGATTGGCAGCAGATGTTAGCTCAGGGAGAATCTTCCTCAGCAAAAAAAACAAAAAGAAAAGAAAAGAAAAGAAAAAAAACACAGAAGAAGATGACATCTGCCTTCAGAGAATTTACAATCCGAGAGGACAGGATGTTCGTACCCTAAACACAGGACATGGGTATGATGTACTGCATAGTACAGTACCTTGAGCACACAAAGTACTAAAATGTTTAGTAAGTTAAAGATTTAAAAAGAAACTGCCATCATTACTCAGAGAAGGGAACATCCCAGTGTGATCTATGATTGACTGGAAAATAACTGAAGGTTGGTACAACTAGAAATATTCTTGAATCTGCACAAAGACTGGTGAAGACTTTTCAGCAGGCTGTTAAAAAAGAAGCATTTGGCACTTGTGAGGGGAAAAAGTCTGCCTGGAAGACTAGAAAGATAGAAATAGTAAGAGATGGTGGGTGGATAAAGAACCTTAAAGTAAGGTGAGAAACTTCAAGTCCACAGCATTTTTTTTTAAATAACAAATATAAAGTAACTTTCCCAGGTATTAAAGCTAGAAAACTCATTTGTTTGTTTGCTTGACTTCTAAGTCTAACCTTCATTGTAAAACACCTGCCTTTTGACCTGACAATGTTTGAAGAACCATTAGAACTGGAGAAGTGGAAGTTGTGTTGGTAGAGGTCTAACGTCACGTCACGGCTGTGCACTGCACAAATTGCCTGGGCGGGTCGGAAGACAGGTAAGAGATGACTGCAGTCACCACTTCCTTCGGAGCAGCCTCTATGGTTTTTCACGCCAAGTTAAGCACATCTACCATTGTGATCTCAAGGCACCAGCTCACTTCTGTACTCAAGGGCTCGTCAGAAAGCTGGGATTATTCGATGCATATCTGACTCCTTACACATATTCAGCATTTGATTAAAGACTTGGCCACTCAAAAATGTGCTCTATCAAATCTAAGTCTATGTAACAACTTCAGTCTTTTAGGTAAACATTAAATGAAACAAAACATAATCCAAACTTGAACTGTTACTAAATTTAAAAAAATTCTATTAGAAATGATGTACAATTATTCATTCCTAGTGCCTGACACATGGCAAGGACTTTTAAATGCTGAATGAAGGAATGGGTGAATCGAAATCTGTCGAAGAAAAACCATCCTAAGAAGCAAGTAGTGCGAATTATGGAGTAACTTCTACATTAATTGATGATTTGCAGGCAGAAATGGATGCTTTGATGAACTTTAATGTGTTTTAAATATAGAGCACTAAAGATTTCACATAATTGCATTGTTAATGCAAAATTCCATTTACACAGCTAACATTATATTAATCATATTTTGCCCTTGCCTGAATAATGCATGTATGAATACTTTAAATAAGAACTTTTAGAGGTTTGAGAAGCACCTTATTAAAAAGCACAAGAATCAACACACTAATGAGAGAATTTAATACTTCAATTATAATACCTGTAACTAATGAGCACAACTAAGAAATAAATCAAAGAAATAATAAATAAACCAACATAATACATATATCCACAGGAAAAAATAATTACATATAATCTTACCTGGATCCATTTGTCCGGAATTGCCATGGCTAATCTATAGTCAAAGCCACCCCCTCCCTGGGAAATCGGAGAACACAGAGCCGGCATTCCTGAGACATCCTAAGACAAAGTACATCAGCATCATCAGCTCGCGCTGCTCAAAGGTTTACTAAATAGCCTTCTGACAGCAAAGTCAGAGCCAATAAAGAAAAACAATAAATAGGGGCACGTGTTTTTGGAGCATTTTGGAACATAACTGTGAAAGTAGATAAAATTGTGATAGCATATCTCATTTCCTAATAAGATTATGTGTAATCTCCTGTAAACTGCAGGACAACTTTGATCTCGCAAAGTTATTTTTCTCTTTTCCTTGGTATCACACAGAGAACACAAAATAGTAAACCTATCACTGCTAAAGCATAGTTTCTTTTTTTGTGGTGAGGGATTGGCCCTGGGCTAACATATGTTGCCAATCTTCCTCTTTTTGCTTGAGAAAGATTGTTGCTGAGCTAACATCTGTGTCAATCGTCCTCTATTTTGTATGTGGGATGCTGCCACAGAGTGGCTTGATGAGAAGTGTGTAGGTCTGTGCCCGGAATCCGAACCCATGAGCCCTGGGCCACCGAAGCAGGGCACATGAACTTAACCACTAAGCCACTGGGCTGGCTCCTAAAACATAGTTTCTTAGACTTATATTTGGGCTACTGTATGAACACTTTTTACTAGCTGTTGCTTTCATAAAACACAAAAATACATGTGGCATATATCTGTTATACCTGTTCCCTCTGTATACAGCACTGACATGGAGTGTACTTGGTGAGCACTTAGCTTCCAACGAAACGGAAAATAGAGTTAGTACATTAAGAGTGAAGCAACAGATGGCATTCACTACAGTCAGTTATGCTTGCAAAGGGGCTCTGAGGTCATCTCGCGGATCTCCTCATTTAGAAGATACAGAAGCCAGGGCTTATTGAGGTGTAGGGCTCTCTAAAGATATATGCTTCTCAAAGGCAGAGCCAGGATTCAGATGTCAGGCCTTTCGACAGTGTCTTTCTACTCTGTCATGCCACCACTAGGTTATGATAATCAAATAAAAAAACAATCAAACAGGTAAGTAAAAAAAGAAAATTGGTATAAGGACCCCACTGTAACAAAATACATTATTGTAAAAACTGCAGCAAAATATGAGCCAAGTACTAGCAATTCTAACTCCACAATGTTTCAAATAAATCCTTTCCCTTCGCTCCATTTCTACAGCCACTATCTTACTTAATCTTCATTTTGCTTGCTTGGACCATTTTATTTCCAAATGGAACCCCCCCATGTCCAGTTTCTTTTCACACCCACTGCTGCCAAATTAACATCTTGTGAGTCTGTTCCTATTACTGCGCGTCAATAGCTTTCAACAGCCGACAACTGAAAACTTAAACTCCGTCGCTTAAATTCAACAATCATACTTTCAGCATTGATGATATAATTTACTCTCTGATGCCTCACTTGCTATTAGAATGTAAGACTCATGAGGCAGGCGTTTTGTTGCTGTTGCTGTCGTTCCCTGATACACGCCAGGAGTCTAGAGTAGTGAAGAGGACCCGGCACAAAGCAAGAACTCAATAAGTATTTGCTAAGTGGATGAATGAAGATGCTTTCAAGGATTTAAAGATAAACAACACATAGTATTTGACCTGCAGGATTGATAAACTAGAACCTGAATAAACATGCACACACTTACTGTCATGAAATGACAATGTGATGTAGTGGTTATTATCGTTAACTGAAGGAAAGAGAAAGTGCAATGGAGAGACCTACATCTTTCCACCATTATTTCCACTATTTCAAGTATTAAAAACATCATCAGCTTTGAGATAGTTACTCCTCCCTGTGGTTGTCACAAGCTTTTCTATGCGTGTCATTGCCCAAGCTCTTCCTTGGATTATTATCCTTATTTCCTGTAAAAGATTATCACATACCCTGAGCTCTCTGCGACCTAACGCACACGCTTCCTCTTCCGTAAGATCATCCCCAAACTCTTTCCCCAAAAAAGCTGGAAAAAAAGAAAGAGATGACCTCCCTGGACTTCCAAAAGAATTCATTGCTTTCTAATGGCAGAGAGGTACAGTTAAATACGAGAATATGGTGAAACACATCCATAAGAAAACAAAATATTTCTCAATGATATCTTATTTCTATATAGTACTTTATAGTTTACAAAAGTGAAAAAAGAAATTTAGAAAAGTGAAAAAGAATGAATGGTTAAAAGAATCCACTTTAAAAGAAGTTATACTTATCAAAATATGTCACATTTTCACAGATATGATAGGAATTCAGTTCAATTCCTTATAAACACTGACTGAATATGTATTAAATATCAGGCACCTATGTTACACACTTGAATTACAGATACAATGCCTTCCTAGAAGAGTTTTCATAAGACTGGTGATAGGCTGGTATTAAAAATCAAGATAAGGGGCCAGCCCAGTGGCGCAGCAGTTAAGTTCGAAGGTTCTGCTTCTGCGGCCCGGGGTTCACCAGTTCGGATCTCGGGTCCAGACATGGCATTGCTTGACAAGCTATGCTGTGGTAGGCGTCCCACATATAAAGTAGAGGAAGATGGGCACGGATGTTAGCTCAGGGCCAGTCTTCCTCAGTAAAAAGAGGAGGACTGGCAGCAGATGTTAGCTCAGGGCTAATCTTCCTCAAAAAAAAAAAAAAATTAAGAATCAAGATAATTTTTTTCAAGAAAATAATAAGGTGTATTCTATATTTGGTCTAATGGTAGTTTTAGGAAATAGTTTGATATCAAATAAAATCTAAGAAAAATATTTGGACACCAACTGGTCTTGACTCCTAAATCTGAATCCTAGAAAGCTGCCCCTTTAATGAATATGAGATATTTGCAGCTTTCTTTTGAAAATGGAGAGTTATTGACTACCCTTTTAAAATCTAAAACTAAAAAACAGATTAACATAAAGGTCACTAGCATAAATATAGTTCAAATATAAACAAGTTGATACCAACACAGTACAGTAAAATAATCATATGTGTTTCAAAGGAAGTTGAAATAGTTTTAGTTCTTTAATATTTAAAGATTACTTATGACTATTCTGGAGTGGGGGGAGAACCTCAATTAAAAATGTCTTTAATTAATATAAAAAATATAATAATGTGGAATGGTCGATATATTCTAGAAAAAAAGGCTTTAAATTTAATAACTGTCTTTATAAATAAATTCAAATTTCTACTGTAGGACTTTATATAAATTATATTACTTATTTATTATACCACATTGCTTTCTCTTTTTTTTAAAGATTGGCACCTGGGCTAACAACTGTTGCCAATCTTTTTTTTTTTTTTTTCTGCTTTATCTTCCCCAACCCCCTGTACATAGTTGTATATCTTAGTTGCAGGTCCTTCTAGTTGTGGGATGTGGGACGCCGCCTCAACATGGCCTGAAGAGCGGTACCATGTCCGCGCCCAGGATCTGAACCCTGGGCCGCCGCAGCAGAGCGCGCGAACTTAACCACTTGGCCATGGAGCTGGCCCACCACATTTCTTTCTTAAAAAAAAAGTTCATGAGGATCAATTCCACATTTTGAAGTGACTCCCACTAGACAGAAAAGTGATGTATTGAAATTGAAGTAGTTTTCAATTTAAGTAGAATAAATTGAAGACACATCTTGTTAAAAAAAAAATCTAAAACCAAGTAACACAAAGTCGGCTAAAGTCTCAAAGTTTCATTGGTAGAAACACTGATAATCAGACAAGAGCTCCCTAGATGATGAAACTATTCTACTTGAAATGAACGGAAAGATCAATGTAACAATTTTAAGTTTCATCAATTAAATAATTGCTGCTTTTTCTTCAGTACCCACTTTTGATTTGTGCTGTCATTAATTGTTTGTAGTAATTTGAAACATAATGTCTCTGCTTTGAATTGCCATAAATATAACTGGCAAACTAATTAACTTTTTTGATGTTTGACAGATAAAATTAAAATATATAAAAGACAAACTAAAAGTTTAAAATACACTCTGATTGATGTTAAACGATATTCAGCACATAAAGTATTAGCAAGACTTATAAGCTATGACCACATGCAGGAAGGGAGAGCATGTGAAATAATACAGGGTATCAAAAGGGTATTATAATTGTGGATTTTTAAAAATTCTATATAAGAATTTATTGCAGGAATTTAGGGTCCATCGCTCTATTTCTATTCCTAGAAGATATTTAGAAGGAAAGAGGCCTAAAGAGAGTAACTGGTCTCTATCCAGAGATAAACGAGGGAATCATACCACCTAGCTGGAGTTTGGGGTTTTGAGAAATGATGGACAGAAAAAAGCCTGTACACATAAAAAACACCACAGGAAGGAGACTGTCACCTCTGCATTCATTTCAATGAACTTAATGCCAACAATGTGAGAATACACCTTAACTCTGAGTCTTCTAACAATAGTCTTACTATTTTTATATGCTAACCACAACACTTCGTATAGAACAGTTTTAACATACTAAATCCAATTTTAATAATAATTCTTAGTTAGAAAACTCAGAAAACCAAAGGGATTTTACTATTAAATCTAAATTAGCATAGGCATTTAACAAACTTCTTAATTTATCACATTTATCACCAAGAGGGGAATTGTCAATTATGTATATACCGAATTCTATCATTACATTGCAGCTTTGGGACAGTTAATCAGGAACCTTCAGTACTCATGAATAACTAGTGAACATTTGGCAGCTGGAGAGCAGGTACATAAACAAGAAAGGTAAGCGCATCAGAAGCAGAGAGGCTGCAGAGAAGCGTGCGGGCAGCCATCCATACCACTCTAACGACTAAACCAGGAAAGAAAAGATAAGTAAATAAATAGACAGGCGCACATTAATATTCAATTCTTTTCTCTGCTGAAGGTCTCATGGTGAAGAACCTGTCCACTGATTAGGATATTTCACTTTCTAACCACTGGCATTTTCTCAACAATGGAATGATAAGTAATTAGCGTACACTATCTGCTAATAGGAGAACTGAATTCTAAAGGATATGCTGCCTACACAAGGCAGCTGCACTACAGTCAGGGAACAATTTCAGTTACGCAATTATTGATAACGTGAGACTGATTATTCAAATAGTGTGTGCTGACCAACGCTCTCCATTAAAGGGGGTCAGAGGGCAGAGATCATTATGGCTTTACCTCAGCTATTGTGATAGAATCCGGATACAACGTGTGAACCAAATGATTGGCCAGCATGAGATAAGTCAAGGCGTCTTCATCTACTTGGAGTCCAAAATATTCATGGTAATCACCTGAAAAGCTTGCACCTAGAGAAAGGAAAATCAACATGGATGCATTATGTTAACACGCAAGTCTTAACTCTGCACAAATGCCCCCACCAACTAGTTTGTTGATATCAGTTCTGTTATCATAGGAAAGAGTAATGAGTCTCGATACCACACAACGTTACCATCAGCAAATCTATGATCAACTTAGAAAAGTACTCCACATCAACTTCCAGAGTTCGGACAATACTACAATTCAATTTTTGTTTCACAAAAGCAAACAAACAAAAACACTTGATTTAAAATTTTAATTTAACTTTAACTGAATTTTACAGCAGAAAAATAAAATGAAACGATACTGAAGAGAATTCCAAATTTCAACTTTTAGATATATTTTTTTGTCACATCAAGAGATGTTAATGTTAGCTAGCTCCTATTAGGGACCTGTGACATAAAGAAAAGCAAATATGAAAAACATCATAAAATTAAGACATAATGTTTATAGAATTTTAATATGGGCTTCCATTTATCCAATATGGATTTCCTATGACGACAAAAAGATTTTAACATTCTCCTACCTCCTTCCACCTTCCCTTCCTCCACCACCTAATCTGGGCTGCTTATGGCATATTTCACTTACTGGGTTATACTGTTTACTTTCTATTCCTTCAGTTGTCTGCTCTTATTTTTAATTAAATCAAATTACTGCTCAACACCTACCTATTTTTCCTCTGCTTCCCTTTATCTAAATTGTTTATTTTGACTCACTTTTTTCAGTTTGCTGGATTCCATCACTGAAAGATATTTTCATGTATAATTATGGACATTTTATTCCACAGGCTCTTTCAAATTTATAACTCTATAGCAATTCAACTATCAAATTCTTGAGTGACACTTTGTTTCCCTAAGGATTTTGTAGACATTGCTGATGGCAATGGAGTAGTTCATATGAGTCCAGCCCTTTTTTCATCCATGCAGGTAAATTGCTTTTTCTTGCTAAATGTCACCTGATGAACTTTTCTTTATCACTGAATTTTATAAATTAAACACTCTGTGTCTTGATGTTAATTGCTTTATCTCAATTTTTTTCTGATATATTATGTGTTCTTTTGCAATTTTAGTTTCGGTTTTTTCCCTCTCATTTCAAAGGGGGAAAACATGTTAAGTAACTCAGAGTGTGTTTCTTTACCATTTCATGGGCTCTCTACCCATAAAAAGTATATCCTATATCCATGGACTTCAGTTCATTTCCCCAATTCCAAAATTCCTAGGAAAATACCCAGCCCTCAGCAGAGGGAGTTTCTACAGGGGCGTGTAGGAGTTTTAATCTAGAAGAGGATCTTTCCGGAATTTGGCCACGCTTGCCTTTTTCATCCCCTAAGTCAGCTTCTCTCCAAACTGGAGAATATGCATCAAACCTGTCATGTTTTATAGATTCAACTTCTTTCCTAGGAACACTTCACGGGGGCAGCACCAGGGCCAGAAACAGATAGCAGCATGCTTTGAATAAAGCTTCTTTCTTGGCAGCCACTTTTCCAGATTTACAGCCTAAAGTCCCTTTTTTGGAGTGGCTGTTGCTGGTAAATATTTGGTCATTAAAAAATAATAACTGTTCGCCATGTGATCTATTGAGGGATTAGGATTCTGTGATCCTACTTCTTTGTACAATTTTTAAACTAAAGATCTCTGATCAATATTTTAATTACAAATTAATTTACAATTTAATTTTAACTGAGTACATCTATATTTAAAATATACATACTTTCTTCAATGTTTAATATGCAAAGGAACCCACATGTTCACAAATGTTCTCATTTATTCTTTTTGTTATTTATTTTTCATTGCAAATGCTGTCACGTTCACAGGCTGAGTATGCTGCAATAAATACTTTCCTTAAAAAACGTTTTTAAAAGAAAGCTACATACTAAGGATAGCATATTATTAAGTAGATATATTTCAAGGAGAATCATTGTCTTTCATTTGCTTATACAATGTACTTATACCCAACCTCTTGCCAAAAAAAATCAGAAGTGACTAGAGAAAAGCAATACGCATCATAACTAATGAAATCCAAGCCAACAATAACAGTCATTGCAGCTTCTGTAACTGAACCCCAAACTTGGTTATAATCTTCCAGTAAAAAACAAAATAAAATCATTAGTTATGTCTGTAACACATCAGGCTACCTACCAATTCCATGGTGATGATAGAGCATGGATGTAACACCATCAAAACGAAACCCATCAAAGCCATATTCTTCCAACCACCATCTTATGTTTGACAGAAGGAATCTTAAAACTTCCCAGCTAAAATATTAGAGAAATATACATTTAAGAACAATGTATATAATGCTTTCCTTAATTGTTATACATCGTTTGCTGAGAGTTTGAATTAAAATTATAAATCTCTCTCTTAGGAACCATGATGTTTAAAGGAATAATCTCATAGAAAAACCAAAAACTACTAATAATTTACTTCATTTGTTTGATGAAATTCATTCAAAAAGGAAAAATTATTAAATGTCTTTAGCCACAAAAATCACTTAATGTCTGAGAAAAACAGAAAAAATGTGTAAGTCGGGTCTGAAGTGCAGGGACTCCGTCATGTTCAATGTTGTGCCCCCAGCCACTGTGCACTGATTAATACACAGTAGTGCTTACCCCCCAAAAAATCTGTTACTTATTTGTGAATTTTCATCAAGATTTTTCATGTAACATAACCAGTTATTTAGTTTCTCCTTCTAGAAAATATAATTTCATTATCAGTAGAAAAACTGCCTTCAGTGTTTGTCTGCTTAAAATAGCTCCTCGTTCTATAATTTCAAACAGATGCAATTCGGAATAAAAAGTAAGGGAAAAAAGGACTTAAAATCAACCACACGATAAGCAATACTACATTACTAGATTACTGCTTTCCGGGGGTTAAAAAAAGAGACTTAATTACTAAAAACACATGTTTCATAAAGGAAGAAGTTCTACAAGGTAAAGAGTCCTACATCCATAAAAACAGAAAGAGAACAAAGAACTGTTATAACTCAATTAAAAACGCCACATGAAACCAGCTTATTTCAGACAAGTGAAAAGAGGGCCTCAGCAATTAGTATTTTCTAGTCATACGGTTATGGGTGAGTTCTCTATCTTATTATAACCGTGGTTTCAAGACTTTAATACCTCATTTAGTTTAATGACAAAGCAGTAAGAGTGTACACAAATCTCTAACCCAGTTGAAATTTATGCATTTTCTTAAACTTTACATATATTAAAGAGCAATCCGACATGAGTGGAGATGAGGTCATCACAATCAACTCCAGAATTGTAAATCTAAACTTTGGGGAAAGATGAGTGTTCTGGGTAATTAACTGCTTTAAATAAGTTGCTTTGAGTTCTGAAAACTTACTGAAAGTTAAAAAAAAGAAATGAAAAAACAGAAATCCAAGCAATCCAGTAGATAGGAAAAGGGAGCCAGGAGGTTGGTTCTAGATTGTTACGTCCAAGCCATGATAAAGGTAGAATTTGATTGTTTCTATTAATACATATTCATGTAGGGTTTAAGGAAAAAAATTCTGTTTAACAAAAACAAATGAATGAAAAGAAAGAGGTATTCTTCAACAGAATGAGATCAAAATTACTCTATTTTGTATAGGAATTTCTAATATTTAAACTTTCTTTGAAGATGTTTTTTAAATTAATAAACTACTTTTTTTTTACAGCAGTTTTAGGTTCACAGCAAAATTGAAAGGAAGCATATCTATACTTTTTAAACAAGTTGCTATACGAATATTTCAGAAGGGAGACAAGAATAAATTTGCATATCAATAATCCTTTGTAAATAATGTTTTGGAAAGGATATATCTTTTTCTAATTTGGCCATTTGACTCGTAATGCGTATTTTACTTTTGAAAGGTAAATTGAAAGATATTTTTTTGCCAAAAATATCCCAGAGTAGGAACAAAACCTGTTTAAATACTAAATATCTTGGGTAGATGTATGGAGATACGACCCTGTAACCCAGAGAGGACAAACTGTCTGGACTGTGACAGGCACCTCTGCATTGTTTAGCTTGCAGAGTACTTTAAATTTTTCAGTTTCAATTTCTGTAGACAGAACATGTATTTTCTAGCTCATCCCAGTCCCTGCCTGCCTTCCACATTTTCACATACCAATGCTATTTACTTATTTACATCACCAGCTTGGGCTTGTGAACACTTGCTGTCAATTTCTAACATAAATATCATGGACTGGATGTTTTCCGGGTAGACACAGGTTCAAATGTGAAAACTGTGTCCTAATATCCCTACAAAAATAAAAGAAAAATAAGAGCCAATGTTACAATTCAACGAAAAACAGAAAAAAGAGATGATGTGAATTTAATAACTGGAAAAAAAGCATTGCCCAATATCACATAGTTGATTAAAGGCAGAATTACTAAATGTCCTTCCGATTCCTGCTACTACAATATTTAATCCAGTCTCTTTTTGACCAAAAGGAGTAATAAAATTGCATTTAACATATTAAAAGAAAAAGACATCTTTAGCTGTAACTATGTGAGTAAAGAGATTCTCGGCATGGATGAACAGGAGAGGAATTTCCGGCGGGGATCAGAAAAGAAAGAATAAGAACAATGGAGGATCTAATTAAAAAGTTCTAACAGGTTAAAAAAAAACTAAAGTCTATTCTTCAAACCTCTAAAATGCTCTTAAACTGAAACAATGGCTAAACAACATAAACAATCCTAAAAAAAATCACCACAAGATTAAACTAATAGGAATAAACCAAACCTGTACTGCTTTCAGAATAATTGGTTTGACTATATTTTATGAATCATTAATGAAACATAAAATAGATGTGTTGTCTCTAGAGACAGAAAAGAGACACTTAAAATTTACAGGAGAGCAAACTTTCTAGAACAGAAATAGTAAAGAAATTAAATTTGGAATGTTTTATTTTTTTAACAAAATCTCAGGCAATACATAACAGGAAAAACAACCAGGCTTAAATTTTTAAAGTTAGTAGCAACAAATGAAAGCAAAAGTTAAATATATCAATTCTCGGATTATATCCATTTTCTAAAAATAGTTTAGTAAAAAGAGTTAAGTAAAACAAACAGACTAGTATTACAAGGGTAACATTTTATAAACCAGCCTTTGTTGTTTAAGAAAAAATGAACTATCAGTGCAGAAAATAGGAGCAAAGACAGACTTATAAATATGTTCCCAATATTTCTGTGGTCCAAATGTTTTGTCTCTGATCATCTTAGCATGACAAATCTAGACAGAGTAATTCACTCTCTATAAAATCAGTGTCCTGATGAAAATAATTTTAAAACACATTCTTGTATTCAGGTCACAAAATCAGGTTTACGGATCTAGCAAGACAGAGAACCAGGAAGACTGAGGTTGGAGTTTATAAAATAACCCCCATGCACATGAATACTTGCATGAACACAATTCAGAACTCAAAGTTAAAAACGGTAGGTCATAGAGCATTTATAGTGTTATTGAAACGAAGATGTAGTTTTCTTTTTCTTACACTATGTAAACATCCAACTTAACGGAGACAATGTATTTAACTATTATGTATATACATTTATCCCAGATCACTGTAGTTCAATCACAAGAGGAAAGCTGAGCCAGGGGTCCTCCAGACCACCTCTAGGTCCAGTGATTCACTGGGAGGACGCACAGGACTCAGCATATGGTCGCGCTCACAGCTATGATTACAGCAAAAGGATAAACAGCAAAATCAGCAAAGGGAAAGCACACGGGGCAAAGTCCGGAGGAGTCTAGGCGCAAGCTTCCAAGAGTCCTAACCAGGTGGAGTCACAACAAATTCCTCCAGCAACAAACTCTCACCACACTTGTGAAGTGCTGTCTATGGGGAAGCTGATTAGAGACTCAGTGCCCAGCAGGTTTATTGGGTGGCCGGTGACTGGGCATCCTGTGTCTTAGGGCGTGTCAAAATCTAGACTCCCAGAAGGAAAGCGGGTGTTCAGCATAAGACACATTGTTTATAGCAGGAGTTTAGGAGCAGGGAGCCATTGTTTTCAATTCCGGGAATGGTGAGAACCTTCCCGAAACCCAAGTTCCCAGGCACAGGCCAAGCGCCAATTTCGCAGGCAGGCGCTTCTAAGGATAGCAGTTTTAGTCCAGCTATATCAGCTCTTTTCTGCACAAAAGCAGAGCCTAATATTTGTTACATAATTATAAAAGACTTACTATAGGTTACTGGAGAAAAAATTCTTCTAAAGGCATTTTATTTCAGACAGACTCAACCTCAAAACCAAGAATCTAAATACCTAAGGACCCCTGGCTGAGGTACTCTGCTCTGTACTCTACCTTCCAGCCATCACATGGATAACAAAATCATGAAGCTTGCACGTGAATGAACTAGTTCACCGAATCTAAGATTTGCCTTTTTTTTTTTTTTTTTTTTTTTTAAAGATTTTATTTTTTCCTTTTTCTCCCCAAAGCCCCCCGGTACATAGTTGTGTATTCTTCGTTGTGGGTTCCTCTAGTTGTGGCATGTGGGACGCTGCCTCAGCGTGGTCTGACGAGCAGCGCCATGTCCGCGCCCAGGATTCGAACCGACGAAACACTGGGCCGCCTGCAGCGGAGCGCGTGAACTTAACCACTCGGCCACGGGGCCAGCCCCAAAGATTTGCCTTTTAAATAGGACACTAGAACAAGCTTAAGGAATATGTACCAGTGAAAATACAAATTTCTGAAAGATGTCTATTGCTATTTCAACTATCATAATTTTCCAATTCAGCACCCATAAATTCCATTTTTCCTTCTTTGGGGGGTTGAGAAGAAGAACAGTTATGATGTATTCCAAATTACAACTGCATTAGAAATATTACTCAACATGTAGTAATAAATGAACTGAATCATCTCACTTGAATGGTTTGCCTTGAGTCAAAGTATGAAAATGTCTGGCAAAGGGTACAATAAAAAAGGCAATTTACTTTTCCTACCTCAAAATGTCATCAGACAGCCTATAACACAGTTGATATATTCAGTTGATTAGAGTCCCATAAAGACAGAAAGCAGAATTTAAGAGCCCAGTTTTACTTGGTGTGTCCAGCAGACAAGGCGGGGCTCTGATTTTAAGACCAGACCATTGACACATGGCTTTTAAAGCCTGTCCTTAGAAACCACAGGGCACCCTAGTTTCCAAACAATTATGGAGCCAGGTGCTAACTTTCAGAAGGTGATGCCAAAAGATATACCTTAGTGGCCAGCATGAATGTGTATGAAAAGTGACATATGTTAGTTATTAGCCTTATATCTTAAACTAACATATGAGTT